ATGTAAAGACACGTTACCAAAATATTTAAATTCCTCATGCCTTTTTCGATCCACAACTGGGTAAAGATTTCTCCAAGAATTTTTCATAAACTTTTTTTCTGCTATTTCGATCCATCTTAATCCAGTAGATCTCCTACTCCTTCAGATCATCCTGTCATCAGTCTGGAGATCTTTGTACAATTCGTTTACTCTCTCCTGGAATCAAGACTTGTATTTCTATATTGACTTCTTTCTTGTGTGATGATCAACTCTTTTTACAACGTAACCTGCCGATTGCCACTAAAATTTCTTCACTCTTGCAACTATATCGAAGACTCTTATTCGTACTGTTCCCCATTCATTCGTTCGACTTCCTCTTTTTTCCCTCAATTCCAACGTATGTCTTTCCACGTTGCGAACTCTGCAATTTATTAATAGCCTTCAGACTAAGGGTTCACGTATCACACCTATTGGTTAGCACTGGGAGCACAATTAAGTCGTGCATACCGAACATGATTATCTTTTTCTAATATATGACATCTGTCAAGTCCTAGAGACAAGTTTCCTCGTCACATTGATGCCTCACTTCTCTGACTCCATTGATTGACGGTTCGAATCGATCTGAAGCGCAGCCTGTGCGTAATTTAATTTTAATGATTGATTTATCTACAGAACGAAAACGAGGAAATGAGGTTAGCGAGTCGAAAGAAAGGGAAGTGGCTGAGTGGAGCAAATTTCTTCATGGTAAGTGAGTCGACGGCCTTCAAGACGAAACCGTGTGCGCGAGGCTTGAAAAGCAGTTGATTTATTGGAATGGCAGTAAGATGGGTGACCGTGGTGGTTAATGGGACGATTTTTGTCGCCGATACATGGGTAGCATCGGACCGATGCAGCTCTGAAAAGGGCAGATTTGTTAGCTGCAAACAAGACCTTCGATGAAAGAGCATGAATCGAACGTTACGCCACTATCCATAAGGGAATGTGATAGCAAATTAGGCGAAAGGGCATCCAGCGAGCGCGTATAAGCCGTAATATTGGCAGAATCACCACAATGTTCAAGCACGCAGAGCAACTGCTGAATTATCCTACATAATTTTTATGGATTATCAATTACAGACGATTAATAACGGAGTTTATTGCTGACTGGCACGCAAGAAACCCATTTCATTCCGTCATCAGCACTCTGAGTTGTTTTGAAACATTGAGCCGCTGTGAAATGTTAAATGTACCATGGACATGGACAGATTTGTAATATCCTTCCTGGTCTGAGTCGTCTAGCTTGTAATGTCTGCAGGAGATGAAAAGTCTATACTGGGAAACGGTCACAGGCACTAAATGAGCGCACCCTTCTCAGTACAATCACTGTCAGACGAAAAATGAACGGAAAGTTTTTAACGACGGCAAGTCGTCGTTCCTTACACTTTCATGATGAAGCCATTTCTGGCACTCTTATTTTCGGGTAATTGCTGGTGTAGTGGTTATCTCAATCTTCATTCCATACGCCATAATCATCTTATTTTACAGATAAAGTCGACAGCAATTATGTAGCAAGCATAGTATGCAGTATCTTGTTTCTCTCAGACAAAATGATACCTGTTTATCAATCTCGAACGGTAGAAAGACGAGTGACCGAGTGACCCGACAGGAGCTCAAACCCTGGACTGTCCGGTTCTGAGTCTAACACTCTAAAGGCTGAGCAACCGGTCAGCGGTGCAGGTTCATATTCAGCTATACCCTTAAGTGTAGTATGCGGTTCTTCCGGCCAGTTTTAGAAATGCTTGAATCCGAAATAAACTAGCCTACGGCCCAACGGCAACTGCGAGCTGATACATCACATAGGATGTTAGTCATTTTTTTAATAGTAGCTGCGCATAACATCCTCTGGACTCTACTCTTAACTTTCCATGCAGTCCTGTCATCTGACGTTCATACAGTGTCTAGTTGTTGCACGCACAGCCAGGGTAACTTAGCGGACAACATATCAAGCTCATACAGTCGAAACATCAGGAGTTCCAACCGGACCGTGGCACCAGTCGTTCATCCTCCTGAGGTAGAAAACCGAGTGCCGCAATGTGAGAAGGAAGCTAGATATTACAGGATACAGGTGAACGAATAGTTGCAAATGTTGAGTTCGAAAATTAGGGGTATTCGTGGCTGTTAGCATTGTAACGTGTATTTTCGCCAAACCGTACGTTTCATGAAAGACAGGTACTACAAATAGCATCAAAAATGAAAGCACTAAAACGCCAACATTCAATGATTAAATAATATCCTCTTTCTTTCGCTCTGAGACACACAGTTTAGAAGAGGGACTCCCTAATTTAAAATGACCAAACCAAAATCAGCCAGACATCTCAAACTGAGTAAGAATACAACTTTACTAGATGTTCATCGATCCTGGAAGGTAGATTCTCTATTCAGGTAGCTATTCTTTTAATTCTTAGCAGCTGGTAGAAGTGTCAGTAAAATTAGCTTTTTCGTTGCATTAAAATCTTAACTGATACTGACCACTGAACACAGTTAATCCTTTTTCTAGCGAAATTGAGCAAAACTTTAGATGATAGGGAATTGACAAGTTGAATTTCTTCGGTACGGTCTGAAAAGGCCG